AAGTCTGCAGCTCCTTCTATCCAGAAAACACAAATGTTGTGGTCATTTTTGAATTTAGAAAAAAAAAAGTCATTGCTACTTTGCTACTGAGAATACTGTGCAGAAATCTTGACCAACTCCTAATTTCATTATACTTTACTTCCAAGCAGCCAAACACTCTTGTAATCTTTAAAGTGTTCTTGAGCAATAGCCCTCCAGGCTTTCTGAAAGTCTTTCAACATTTTTCTTTGGACACTGGTTAGAGCTTGTACCTGAGCATTTTCACAGGAATGTTTTTGTTTATTAAGCCACTTTACACTGACCTCTGAGCAGCATCTTTAAAGAATTTTAGGGAACTGAACAAGCAAGGGACAAACGAAGAAGTGGCAGGCTTATAACGCTATTCTAGTAATAGTATTATCATCTGACAGACATGCCCTTGGGGATCCTGTCAGATCTGATACTGTCAGATTTCGGTCCACCATTCAGTACCGTCTGATAATCATCTTAGTGGCAACGCTCCCAAACACACTGAAGATGCAGTAAAAGCTTACCTGAATAGAAAAACACACAACGGAACAGTATCGGTCATGAACTGTGCTCCCTGTTTCAACATTACTGAAACAGTGTGGGATCATGTAGACAGAGCACAGAGCTCAATGCAGCAAACATCCAAAGAAAAGCTTTAAATGTTCTTCAGGAAGTCTGGAGGACATTTCCTAAAGACTACTTAAAGAAATTAAATGAAAGCGTCATACCAGATATTGACTTTCAAGCTTTTCAGAAATCTGCAAACACTGTTTCTGCCTTATATCTTTGAACATTTCAACAAATGGCATTGCCTATTTCCCATTTTGCTAGTGAAATATAAAGAAATGTTGGGTGGGTCAAGACTCTTGCACAGTACTGTCTCTCTGTGATTTTCCCTTTTGGCCATTTGTTTTTTTGTCCACAGATCCACAGCTTAACAAGAGTTTTTCAGCCTCTAGTTATTTTTGTACCATTTAAACTCCCACTGGCTTTTTTCTCTTGCCAAAAAAGGAACAATGCTGATAAAATGATCCTTAGATATATATATATACACAAGTGAGTGATTGTCAGCTGTCGCATTCATGCTGCATAGAATATTTCTGGGTGTCCATCACGAGTCCAGATAGACGGAGTAAATCTGACTGAGGCAGCGGTCGACACCACCTGCCTGGAAGAGGAAGCTGTCGTCTGGGCAGGGAGGCAAGGAGTAACCGCCCCCCGCCTGACCCTGCAGGTCCTGCAGCAAGTCAAACCCTGACAGAAGGAAAAAAACAACAACACAGCAAATGAGTTATTTAAATGTGAAAGGTTTTATTATTACATATGGGAAAGAGTTTAGTTGGAGGTTTTAAAAAAAAATGCAAACAGATAGTTGCCTTCATAATTGTTTGAGCAACTATAATCAATGTTTTATAATAAATGGCATCAAATAACAGCATGGAAACCATGAGGCAATATTAAAACCTACTACAGCTTACTGTTTATCTGTCTGCTCCTTAACTTTTTAGTCTCAGTTTGCTCCCACTGTTCTTATAGTGTCACTTTCAGTAGCTGCTTTTAGTAAAAAGTCTCTAAAAACCTTCATTTGACCAAATGGACAACAAGCGGATAAAAAGCTATTAGCCTCAGTAAAGTTTTACTCTTTAGTCAGATAATTATCAGCTATATAGATCTTTTTAAAATTGCATTAGAAAGCTTATTTCAGCTCTGAAATAAAACTACAGGTTACCACAGATATAGTTAGCAACAAGCTACATTTGTGTAGTTGACGTCTCACCTGTAGAGTGGGAGGCGGGCTGGTTGGTGAAGTAACTTGCAGGCTCAAAACCTCCATCGCTGGGTGCCTGAGCCATCTTTCCCTCTCCATACAGGCAGCCTAGGAGAACCACAGAGTAGACGAAGATGAAGCATGGCATTGAACACACGCCTCCCTCACATTACTTGACTTGATGTTGTCTGTACCGTGTTGCTGCGAGAACACTTGCTGTTGGTGGTTGTAGGTTTTCTGGAAGCCCTGCAGCCGGACGTCCACTCTGTCTGAGCAGGGACTCGCTGGGATCACGTCAGCGGACACAAACAAGGAAGCTGGTCTGTTCCTGGAAACGCACAACATAAATATTTATCTAGCATCAAATCACAAAAACAGTTTCCTCAAAGCGCTTTATACTGTAAGGTAAAAACTCTACAGTAATGTGGAGAAAACCCCAACAACCAGACAACCAACCACCAGGCCAATTTTGGATTAAGCCCTGCTCCCACAGATGACCACCTTTTCTGCTTGCTCACCTTCCTTATAAATGGCTTCTTCATAGACATCCAACCAGTGAAATCATTCCTGATTATTCTCAAGTAGACAGATAACAGTAGATGGATCAACTGATGGGCCAGATGCCTTTTTCAGGTCGTGCGTCAGGTCTTTGGTAGATTTTTTAAAATATTTCTTAAGGACATGACTTTCAGAAACTGCCGTAGATCATTTTTAGGCCCATCACTTTTCCTTTTGCTTTTTAGGCAAAACTGGACCAGTTTGCTTAACCTTCTAGGACCTGGCGTCCACATATGTGGACATCACATTATGGGTTGTCTAGACCACAATACTAAATTTTACTCTGCAAGGGCCTGATATCCACTTACGAGGCCATTATACTGCCACCGTTCTACTGAAATTTAAGACGAATGTCCTCATAAGTGGATCTAATTTTTCAAAGAAACAAAAATCAGGTAAAAAAATAAATAAATCTGGTAATTCTTTGTTTTTATATTCATCAGGTTCCAATCAGCCCAAATAGCAAAGAAAATTTAAAAAAAAAAATGCCATGAAAGAGTTCGGGTCTTAGGAGGTTAAGGACACACTCCACACCACATTGAGATAAGTTTTCAGTTAATAGTTCTTTGAAAAAATTTTTTTAAAGACCTCCAGAAACTGCAGAACTGTTGCTCAAGAGCACTTTAAATAATTACAAGAAAGTCCAGCTCCTTGGAAGTAAACCATAAAGAAATAAGAGATGACTTAAGATTTCTAAAGTTAGTAACATCAAACTATTCTCCACAAACACGGTTAACTTTAAACTCCAGTACTGATTACTGCGTGTGTTTCAGTGTTAAAATGAATAAACACTGACCACATTCATCATAGTGATGGAGTGCTACGTGTCAACAGGTCCTACTGAAGCCATTTAAAGACCAAATCTAAGTACAAGTTGAAAGTGACAGGTTTGATGGTTTAACTCAAAAATTATTTTTTTTTTTTTTAAAGTGGAAATGAAGTTTCCAGAGAATTGATCCTGTATGTGACTGACTCAGCCCGGCCTGTTTCTACACTAATGCTGTTTTTGGCCTGACCTTCACTTCTGCTGAACTGCTGAAAGTTTCTGTCACACTGAGATGTATATCAGCGTTTGTTAAGCACCATAAAATTCAACACAAGTTTTCCAAGCCAATAAATATTATGGTAAAACGATAATGATGTTGTAACTCTCTGACTGATGGAACTTCAATCTTAGTTGTATTAAACTAAATTGTGAAAATTATTTCATAGGGAAGGTTTCAATCAATGTAAGCAACAACACTGACTCTGATACAATGAACCCAGGGCACGAGGTTTTCAGGTAATTAAATCAGATAAACATCAGCTGACCGCTGTATACATCAGAAACATGTAAACACTTCTCTTCTGCAAACAGTGCAGTTTGTATAAGAAAGCGTTTCCACCTCAGGAGGGTAATGTGCTGCAGAGAGCTGTATCCATCTCTTTGCTGCAAGAATGTGCTGACTGTGCACAAACACTCTGACTCAACATGGAAACGAATGAGTCAGTGGAGCCAAGTCGACGAGAAGAAAGAAAGGCAGCTGAATTTCTCTCTAAGGAGATACGCAGCTGAAAAAAAAAACAAAAAAACCCCGTACGGTATTCAAGTGCCCCCCTTCCACCTTCAAAGAGCCCACTCTCAGCATTTCATGTGGCCTGAAGGCTTTCCTGGATGATGTACTGCAGCATATTGGTCCCCAGAGAGCCAAACAGCACTGGTTTCTGCTGGAAGACTTTTAGTGGGCTTCATAAACAAGCCAGGCCTTGTCAGAGATACCGATGGCTGCTGGCCTGAACATCGTATATTTTCGCATCTGATCAGCTATAAAAAGAGGAAATGTTTGGAGATTTCTTTACATATCTCTCATTTATCATCCCCAAGTCTCTTTATTACCCATTTCCCATGTCAGATGCTATTACATTTAAGTTAACAGTCTCTGCTTTCATTGGAGAAATACAATAAAAGCCAAAATTAATCAGAAGGACTTTTTGAAACCCAAACTGATATAACTTACAGATGGCTGTGGCTTCCCGAGGTAATAAAATCCAGGTTTTGTATAGTATTATGTAAACAACGTGGCCTTTGATATAGCGTGGCTGTTGAAATGAATGTGCTGCAATGACTGCAAGGCAAAAGAATTCAACACATCTTTGAATTTCCCCTCACTGGCCCCTGAACCATCAGCGCTGACCTTAACTATAAACAACGCCGTCTGCGCCACGGCTTACATTCTTGTAATGTTGCAACAACATAGTTGAGATGTCTGAGCTGTGCTGGGTCGATCTGTCACTTTGTGGCCGGTGTGCCCAACTGCTCACATGCACGAGCTTACCGAGGGCCCAGGGCTGAGGACGCGGCTGTCAGTAAACCTCAGGAAACTTTTTGTCTGATCATATTTTACCAACTGACCCTCTGCAGGACTCACGTTTTTCTTACTAACTACAGCTGCCATCCTTACTGCTTATGCAGAATGAAAGGAATCCAGCTTGCAGAATTTAAGATCTTCCGCGCATTGTGCTGCATTTAATTGGTGCCAGCTTATGATCACAAACCTGATGTTTCGAATTTGAATTTTGAAAGTATTTCGGTGATATGGATTTAATGGATCACAGGGGATTACGCTAAATCTGTGCAATACAGATGGAGATTTAATGGGATCTAAGTGCTACCACTAAGTGCTTAGGGAAACTACAGCACAAGCATTTCATTTTAGAGCTACAGCAAGTAAAAAAAGTGAAGGATTTCACTTAAAGCGGCTATTTAGGTCCAATGTCACTTGGAGTTTCTGCAAAATAAACTTCATTACATCGCCTTCCTTCAACGTGTATAATAGTGTTTCTGTGTGAGCGCTATCCTGGTTAGTGTGCCTGTATCTGATGGACACGCTGCTGCAAAAAAATGCAAATCCAGCACCACGCTACCTCTCTCTTCCAACCGCACAATATATACAAACACTGTGCATCACAAATACTAAACTGATGGACAAGCCTCACTGCGGGCCTCTGTAAATTATTAAAAGACGTCAAAATGGCTCATTACAGCCAGAGTAAACATTGGCCTCCCTATGAGGTCAGAGCATGATGCTGCCTGCACCATGAAGAAAAGATAATTTACTTTCACGTGTTTAACGTCTCTCGTCTAAGTCATTTTGTGGAAAATCAAGTGCTTGTCTGGTATTAGCTTTGGCAGGTTGTCATATACTGTGGGCACCAGTGGGATTCAATGACATCCTCCGCTGCTATAAAGAGACGTCAATGGACGGATTGTGCATAGCTTCATGGAAGCTCTACTGTAGCTGCACATTTTAGGAAGGCGGAGAGATTCTGAGGGAGGTGAGCAAAGTTCCTAAAAATGCACAAAAGCATCCAAATGTTTGATTTATTAAAATCTGTATTTGTTTTGTAAACTTTAAAGTGGTTTTAGAAGTGAAATATGTGATGAAATCCAGATCAAATAGTACTTAGAAATTCTGTGTTTTCTTGTATATATATTGGTTGACCGACACAATACAATCTCCTCAACCCAAGGCCTGTGGCTGGCACACATACATTTATGATGTAGTTTTATCACTACAAATACAATAACTTCTTGAATAGTTTTCAAAGAGGAACAACTAACCGTAACGTGTAAGAATATCTGAAAAACAGAAGTGGACTTTTTTCATTTGTAATCATAAGAAAAAAAAATAAAGATCTTGCAATAAAAAAAAGCTTCTGCATTGAGACAAATTTCCATTGATACATATTTCTTACATTTTAAAAATCACTAAGCATTTCCATAAACAATCTCAGATATGTGTATAATCAATACAATGCACTTTGCTTTAGCAGTCAGGGTCAAATCTGAATCCTTTCCAAAAAGATGACATTGACCAAAAAATAAAAAAATAAAAAAAACCTTCTTCAGCTTCAATTCTAATCAGTGGATTCGCCATTACTTAAACATGCAGACTACTTTTGCAGTTTGCACAATATCACTAAGGGATAGAAGTGAGGTTGGCTTACATGTCAATATGTATCCCATAAACCAGGGGTGGAGAACTTGCAGGTTTTAGATATATTACCCTGGGTCAACAAACCTGAATCAAATGATTAGTTCATTACCAGGCCTCTGGAAAACTTCAAGACACGCTAAGGAGGTAATTTAGCTATTTAAATCAGCTGTATTGTATCACACTCAGGTATTATCTAGTTAATTGCACTTCTAAGTGGTCTAAGTAAAGTAAGACACACGAGGCTGTCGGCATAAATAAAAGAATAAAAGACAAGTGGCACAAAATCATGGAAGGATATGTTTTTGTCTAGTCCACTTTTCTCGCTGATGAATTGGGCAACATCTCCTTTGCCTGCCTTTCTGGAAAAGTCACAACTATACATAGTAGACCTTTTGCTACTTTCATTTCAACCCCAACGGTCAATGATGAACCCTAAAGCTTAAACCTGTTGAAATCAGTGCTCAGAGAAAACAACCAATCTTAACATTTAAGCCAAACACCGAAAGGCCACTTGAAAACAACCCTTGGAAATATTGGAAGAATTTCATATGAAACAATGTGCATTATATGGTAATATTTTATATCATTTATTAAACCACAAAAATGTTATTCTGGCCTTTATTGATGCTATTTTATTAGACAGACTGTTTTTGTTTTTACTATAGTGCCAATAAAAGTTACTTTATGGGCAAACCTTCAATGACCAATAATTTTAGGCCCTATTGTCCAGAAACTGCAGCCCTGGAGGCTTTCAGCTGTATCTTTTTAGTCTCACTTCTACTTTTATACTTGCCTAGAGAAAATTTGTCTCAGCTTACAGTGCACATAGGTTCTGTGGTCTCCAACTACCCAATCAGTGCGACCACAAAGCCATAACTCCATCTCTGGTGATAATGTCTCTGGTTTATTCAAGAATGCACAAGCTCGGATCTCTCTGGCTTTTTCTAGAAATCAGAGATGAGGGAAAGCAAAACAAAATGACTGTGAAATCTTTAGTATCACTTTGAAGCTTCAGTGTTTGATATGGAACAGAGCCGGACTGCTCAGAAGCGTTAAGCAGCTTAGAAACACTTTAATACATGCCAGATATGTTTAAACAATACGTTTAGGACATATAAAAGCAGAGGTTTTGGGGGCGAATCCTTGAAAAGGATACAGAAAGGAGCATAAAATTGAGGTCTGTTAGTTTTCACTATTTTTATCTATAGTAGAAAATAACTCTGAATAAAAACTGCCACATGAGATCTTATTCAGCTCCACTGTAGTGAGTTGGCAGCAGAAATCCCAGCAGCAGATAACTGAAAACCTTGCCAGACACCACGAGGGGTAAGTAGGAAAATATGTCTTTTCTTTATTTTTGTGATTTGGATGAACTGACTATTTTACGTTTGCCTCTTGTTTTATTGTTAAATGTCAGTAAAGTAATCTCCTTCCCAAGAAATAAAAGCAGCCCAATGTTGAAATACATGACAGTGTAGAAATTAAAAATGATAGATGTTTCTTTGCTTTTTATTATATGAAAGAAAATATTCACAATGGTGCAACAAGATGCAACCTTGGGGAAGATAAACTTCCATCAGATTTAACTACTGCCACTGCTGCCCATAAGCAAGTCACTAAACATCTATTACTCTGCTATAAAAACTAAGTGGACTGTTTCCAGTCCAGTTTCGTTGTATGAATAAATAAATAAATGCTCAGGGGATGCACCGCATTTAACTTGAACTTGCTCTGATCTTACACTCACCCCTCTCTCATGCTCCCCGGGCTTGTTAATGAAGATATTGGGCTATTAGCATCAAAGTTTCCCTCCAGGCCTGGATACCTCGAGTCTGCTGATGGGGGCAGAAACTCTGAATTCCCCCGACTGTGGGCGGTGCTGCTGCTGTTTGAGTACACACCTGAAAGAGAGCCACAGATAACCTCAGTAAATCTGCTCCACCAAACATTTTGAGCATCCACCTCCACATCTGGTCCCACATCTAGTCTGAGGTCTCTGCAGCAAAGGTTGGATGATGTATATAACAGTTACAATAGAGTAGGAGTTAACATTAGAATCATTAGAAACTTCAACTGCAACGTATTTCACTTCAACGCCAAATTACATGTAGCCAAGTTTTCCAAACACCAAAAGTTTAGGAAGTGTTGCAATGCTTTTCGTTCTCATATCTTTTGCTGTCAGAGATCGACCGCAAGTAGTTGTGGCAACTAACTGGTTGCCCGGAGGCTGAGTATGCATACACTGGGTAAATACTTTCAATTGCACAAACAATCACAGTCAGACAGAACGACTTTGATTAGTTTTAGACAGACTGGTGAATGTTTTAAGATAACTGGCATTTAGAAATGCAGAAAGATTACCAGGGTGTTGCAATAAATCTGTGTCAGCCTGCAACACCTTTCCTGTCAGTCGAGGCTTAACTCAACTAGTTGCTAACTGGCTGTACTCTGGTTATTTTCATATATTTTCATACTCTTGACAGGCACTCGTAAACATGACCATATTTCCCCAGTCTTGGCTTGTTTACACTGGCTTCCAGGATGTTGTAGAATTGATTTTAAGATTTTATTGCTTGTTTTTAAATCTCTAAATGGATTAGCTCCGTCATACCTCTCCGATTTGTTAACTAAAAATACTCCAAATAGAACTCTCAGGTCAGCTGAGAAGCAGGCTGAAAAACTGAGGAGACTGGGCCTTTGCGATAGCTGCGCCCAAACTTTGGAACAGTCTGCCTCTTGAAATTAGGATCTTTCCAACATTTTTAAAACCCATCTGAAAACACATTTTTACTCTCTACCTTTTAATTGTGTTAAAATTGTGTTTTAGTTTGTTCTTTGTGTGTGTTTCTTCTACTTTTTTACTTTTTTACTATGTACAGCACTTTGGTCAACCTGTGTTGTTTTTAAATGACCTTATAAATAAATGGATTGATTGATTGATATATAAATAAAAGTTGCTGAGCATCTGTGCCGTTAAATCTTCCTACTACATCACTATCACATCACTACCTGTAATGATGATTTTCACTGGGTTCAAGCTGTATTGAATTGTATTATAACAAACACCAATAAAATATAAAGAAATGAAAGGCTGACTCTACTCAGTGTTGCACTTTATTTTTCAGCACAGCCTGAATTCTCTCAAGCTGTCTTGCAATTTCTTTAAGTAGTCTTCAGAAACGGCTCTCCAGGCTTCTGGAAGGACATTCAAAGATCTTTGGATGTTGGCTGCCTCTTGTTCCTTTCTCTGTCAAGATAATGCAACACTGCTTCAACAATGCTGATGTTTGGGCTCTGAGGAAGTCAGTCCATGACTGATAGTGCTCCACTGTTGGCTCTTCTATCCAGGTATGCTTCTACTGTCCGCAATAATTTTCATGGTGAAAAATTGAACTAATATCAGTCAGATGCTTTGCAGATGGTATAACATGGTGGATTAAAATCTGACTGTACTCTTCTGCAATCATTCAATTTTGACAAGCGCCCCAACACCGCTGGCTGAGAAGCAGCCCCAGACCATGACAGAGCCTCCTCCATGTTTTACAGATGGCTGTTGGGATGTTTGTACCGCTCTACTGACCTCCTCCATAAATACTGAAAGGCCAATAAAACTCTAATTCGTATTCATTTCCCAATAACAGCTGTTGCCAGTGATCTTCAGTCCAGTTACTGAGTAATTTGGCATACCTCAGCCTCTCTTCATATTTCTGATGAGGCTTCAGTGAACAGTAGATGGATCACCTGAGGGGTTAGATTTTCCTCTCAAGTCCTGTGCTAGGTATTTCCTAACATTTGGTGGGTGTGTTTGTTAAGTTTGGGAAGAAATTATGTTTTTGCAACAGATTGTTGGTACCAAGGTGCCTGCAGACATAATTTAAAATGGGTTCTTTGCAAAGTTGTCTGTGTAGACACAACACTGATTCAATTAGGTCCCTTTTACAAGGATTGGACTAAAAATGAGTAACAAAAAAAGCAGCCAATGTTCAAAGAAAAGCTTTGAAAGACCTTTAGAAAGCCTAGAGAATTATTGCTCAAGACCACTTTTAAAAAATGGCAAGAAAGTCTGGCTCCTTGTAGGCAAACAAAACTGTCGAAAATATTAAAATACTCAATTTATAGTTAAATGAAACTCTTCCAAATTATCGTGCAGTAGTGACATTTTCCCCCCACTGATGAGCAACTCAATGTGCTATAGAAAAACAATTTCTGGTGTAAATACAAGTATATTACACACAGTGTGCACATATGGACAGATGGGGATTAGACTATGTTGCAAGCAGACTTTGAGGAGTTTCCATGGTCAGCGTAATCCATTTTTCTGTAAACCTTTCAGAGCCACATTTCAAGCCTACAGGGGCTGAATGCTCAATATCAAAAATATAGTTTCATGCTGTTCATTTAAATCTGTAACTTGTACCTGCATGCAATCAGTAAGCTGTCAGCACTAGGTTTTAAGCCAAGCTGACAATGATAGTGTGTGTCACCATAAATCCACCTAGTATACCACAACAGAAAGCAGTTTTCAGGCTATAACATTTGGCCATTTGAGATAAGAAAAAGTCCTCCTGGGATTTTTTCAAAATTAAACACTGACATGCTTGTTTCACCCTGACTAAACATAGCTCATAGCGTGCCGCTTGAGGCTTTTCCCTCAAAGTCTTCTGAGTAAAACGGCGAGTAGTCTGAAGTAATAGACATGGACAGCTTTCCTGGACGCTCTCCACTGTCTTTGGCCAACTGAGCCTCAGTGTACCTGACAGCTTCTTGATTCTGGTTCAGCCATTGAAATGGAAAGAAAAAGAGCTTGGCTGGAAAACCCGTTTGGAGAAGCTGAAGGACAAGTGGGGTGAAGGCCAACTTGCCCACAGTCATGGTGCCCAGTAATTGGACAAGGTAAACACTGGCATGATGAGCTATCATCGAAGGAATGAGAGAGGAGGGAAAGGAAAAGGAGCAAATGAGGCCATGGGAGAAAATGAAAGAGACAGCTTAACAGCCCAGGTGTTTTGGGCAATTACTCTTTTCTTTTGGGTTTTGCTCATTTCCAGAGAGGCGCTGGAGGCTAAGCACAGACTTCTGCTACCGTTTCATCTGCACATACCTGTGAAGTCATCTAAAGCCGGTAAAGGTGAGCTGTTTTCTTGGTGCGACGAGGCAGAGCTGTGGAGATGCTGGCGTGCCAGGCAGTCACTTAAGATGTCAGATTCCAGCATCGTGTGCACCTGAACCTGACAACAACACAAAACGCATTACAGCCATTTAGATACATGTCATATAACAGCACTGTGTTATCATGTTGGTGACCAAGTGTGGATGTTTGCCAGCATGCAGGGATGAGAATAATTCCGTTAAAGCTGCAGCTTAGTTGTCTTCCAACTATATGCTGTTGGGCAACGCAGCTCCCATGCAAGTTTAAACTAAATGACTTCTCTTTTGATTTCATTCAGTAAAGCAACTGAAAACACAGTGAGCGAGCTGCAGGAGGTTTTCTACTGTTCATTTATCAAAGAAATGAGTTTGCACCAGATGCCTGGTTCTTGTTTCATCTTGCGATCCAGCTTCTTGAGGTACAAAATCCAGAAATCTTATTAGGCAATCGTATTCCAAAAATGTTCTAACAAAGTTAAGGCTAAACAATTGGCTTTATTTTCCAGCGCTAAACAGAACATCCCCCCGGAACTTTCCAAAACAATTTATTGACAGCTTCGGGATTCAGAAGAAGCTCACGGCAGACACCCAGGAACCACAAAAGCGGCGTAAATAATCAGCAAGAAATGCTCACCCAAAGTAGCGTTCACGAAGCCAGAAACTTCAATCGCTGTGACACATCAGCTCGAATAAATGTATGCCCGTGAGGAGCTTAAGAAGCTCATCTTTAATATTTCAAAGTTCCAATTAGCCCCACAGGGTTTACTGCAGCACAGGGCGTGTCGACTGTGTCACAACTTACCAACACACGTGGTTCTGTTTAAACCAAACAAGGCATGCGAATACACACACAAAGCCCCAGTGTCACTCACAGGCCATAGAAAACAAACAAGGCCCAGATAAAGCAGAACAATAGGCTCCCTATTCGGACTTCCAGGGAGTGTGTGTAATACTTTGTTTTGTTGTATTTCATCCTACTGAATCATAAACATACCCACTCTCTCCTGCTGTAGTTCTCCAGAAATAAGACCTGCAACCCCCGAGAAGCCCCCTTTCTCTTTGAAAGTTATATAAAGAAGCAGTTCTCTACTATCTATATTTAAGAAAAAAAATTCTGGAAGAACAACATTGTTTTGAACTTTAAGGTTAAACGGGAACAAACATGCATCTCATTTGCTTTTAAACATGAGGTAACAATCAGGAAATAAAATCAAGATGTAGCACCAGAAAAAACCCTGTTTTACTTTCTCTTCCTGAGCTTGTTCATTTTTAGCTACAGATTTTCTATTCAGGGTCTCATGAATGACTGTGTGTGTCTTTATGGAATTTAAAACATAACCTTTTTTGGGGGGCAATTTTTATGTTTTAATAATTATTGAAAAAAGCTGTCTATTTTTAACTGAAATGCCAGATTTGGGGAATGGCACACTCACTGATATTTTTAGGAAAGCAAAGCTTTTATTTGTGTGTCACTTTTACAGAAAGAAAATCCTTGTTCAGAAATTGCATGCTTTTACGGTCACACATTTCTTCCAAATTGGATCAATTTTAAATGAATTCAAGGTCATTTAAATGATTTGGCACCTGCAGGCAGGACATCTGCCTCCAGATGTTAGGCTTGACCATAAATGCTTCAGTTTAGCTTTTGATTAATATGTCTTTCATTCTTTATTTTATGTAAATGTGTATGCTTCTAATGGTGAGTATTGTTCCGTAACCACTGCTGATTAAGCAGCTGTCTATGTTGGCCAGGACTCTGTTGCGAAAGACATTTTAAACCTCAAGGGTCTTGTCACCAGGTTAAAATGAGGTTAAATACAAACATGCAGTCATGTGAATAATAAGGTTTCAAAATCTAAGTTCACCCTATGATCTAGTAGCAATAACCTGAAATAATTGTTTTCTGTATGACTTTATTAATATGTGGAGGAAATTTGGTCCACTCGTCTTTTCAACGTTGCTTCAGTCCATTGAGGTTTGCAGGAATTTGTTTATGTACAGCTCTCTTAAGGTCCCACCACAACATTTCAATCAGCCTGAGGTCCATTGCAACACCTTTTTAACCATTCTGTTGTAGAGTTTTTGCTGTTTTTGGACTCAATGTCCTTTTGCATGACCCAGTATAAGCAAGATATAAATGTAGGACAGATGGCCTTATATTGAATCTAAATATCGGTATACAGAGGTGTTCATGTTTGACTCAGTGGCTGCAAGGTACCCGGGTCCTGTGGCTGCAAAAGAAACCCAAATGATCACCGCTTCATCAATGTGGTTGATAGCGGGTCCTGTTGTGTTTGTGCTGATTTGCTTGTTTTTTACCAAATGTGGGACAGTTGCCAACATTGTTTTTAGTTTGTAGAGCCTCTTTGTCATTTGTCATAATAACCTTCAAGTTTTGTGCTGAAATAAAATCAAAAACATGCATGGCTGCTCCTAATAACTTCATCAAATAATGAGTGGAGCCTTCATAGCAGTTTGTATTGTTTTCATTATTATGAGAAGAAACACAACTTAACATGTATTCCAAACAAGAGAAGACAAATATCCATCATAAATACAAACTCCAGATGTGCTGTGTATAATTGCAGACAGTCAAGTATAATAAATTGGGAAGGAAAAAAAATCTATCAAGTAATATAACTTAAAACATTTCATGTTTTATGATGTTAAGCTGTTGAGAAATAATCAATTGATTCCAGTAAATTTCAGCCCTGTGAAGGTGGCTCAGGAATACAAGGCACTGATGTGATCCTGGTTTAAATTATGTACTTTTGATCCCATCCAATAAAAGCTTAAATATGACCCCACTATTGGACAACCTGATAGGTGAGTGGTTAGGATGCACACTGCATGTTTTACTCCTGGCTAGACGGACCTTTATTGAATGTCTTTTCCACTATCCACGCAAACCATCCATTAAGGGCAAAAAAAATGCAGCTCAAATTTAAAAAAACGTCCCCAGGTTGCTTTTAAAAATGCTTTGGCCATAATTTTTTTTTTCTAACCACGCTTTCTGAATCCTCCCTTTGCTTCTGAACGACACACAGTCAAGTTTTAAAAACATAGAAAGGTTTTAATGTTCATTACCTTGACCTCCTTTTCCTGAAGGCCTTTGGCTGAATGAGCTTTGACGTGCTTTCGTAATGAGCTGGGGTCAGTGTAGCGCTTGGTGCATCCTGGTATCTGACAGGCGTATGGTTTCTGTGAATGGACCACAAGAAGGAGAGGTGAGAGAAGTTTGACTGAACATTTAGAAGCACCTTGGTTTGACTTTCTGTTATAAAAAGAAAACAGGTGTGCTGCTATTAAAAAGAGCACAAATTATTTTTTGGTGTTTTGGGGAACACTTTCTCCTGCAACTCTTCTTGTAGCGGATTGCGAAAATTTAGCAATGTTGATTTCAGTACTGAGCTAAGGAGAACAAACCTTTTTTTGTACAGAAAACACAACAAAAATAGCACAACACGCCAAATTAAACCCAGAGCTTGAGAGTTATTATTAGATTTACTGTAAGGTGCAGACTACACCACCTCTTATATATCCTACATTATGTATTGAGAAGGTTACGAATTTTCTACACCAGAACTGAATAATATTCACAACACGATGATGATTTTATAGTCTCATCAGATACAACGATGTCAAACATAAAATGTGTGTACAAATAATGGCACAAGTTCAGATGACTCACATCCACACTGAAGGCATAAACATTTAGGATAAAGATCGTAAATGTGGCTACTTCTTGTGACAACTGGACTAACAGAGGAAGAAAGAAGATGTAGTTCTGTCAACATTTTACATAAAGTGCTCCTCAGCTGAAAGGGAGGATATTTACCTTTCATCTGCAGGCTTAAAAGAGGGGAAGAGAGAAGAGAGTTTAGCCATAAATCATTTCATTCATAAAGTAAACTGTATGAGCTACCTGCAGTCTTTGTATTCATATAAAAGTATTTATTTCTGCACATTATTTCCTGAAGGAATAAATATTTCATAGCAGGCTAAAGCAGCTGGAAGACAAAGTATTTTCTGGTGTAATGATATAAAATACTACAGTTAACTGAGTCCTCCTGAAATAAGTCAAATGAGTAACATCGTGGAATATGTGTTGAAATGTTTTTTACTGTCCAAATAGCTCATTTCTTATATGCAGACAGGTTTTCATCATTTTACTTCGAAGTAGAAAGTTGAGTAAGATGACTGTATTTCACAATTTAGTGAATAAATGAGCTCATTGCCATGAATCTCAGATCTCTTTTTTATTCGCTCTTTTTCATTGCTAAGTATTTAACAGGTGGATTCAATTATACATTCATGAAAACACATGTACAGTGTTTATTTGAGCCTTTTGGGTTTATGTGCTGGGATGTGAGCACTACAAGTCAAAAAAATAATGAGCGTCAGGTTTGATGATCGTATTTTTCAGGACATTTTAGCAGAAAATGTGACGAGAGCTGTGATGTAGTTAACACTGCCCAGTTTCTCATCTTTGTACGCGGGATTACGAAAAAAGCTTGAGATTACAGCAGAGATCACAGCTGTGTGCTAGATGAAAGAGACTATGACGAAGAGTGATTTGTTTAATGAAATCAGATAAACTTGCTGCTGTTACATTAGTAGCGAAATCTGACTAAAACTGATCATTTTGTGTTGTATTATAAACCAGGAGGTGTTGCACAAGTCAGAGCTAAAACAACACATTGTTGATGTTGTAAATAAATAGTTAACTTCACCAGGGCAAGGGTTTTAGAGGTGCATGAAGCTGAACATTGTGAGGCTACCACACAGGTCAGCCTGGACTAAAAAGGGTTTAGGACCTGCTGCACATCCATGATGAGAATCTGGCATTCCACCATATCCAAGAAGTTCTCAGTTGGGGGCATTTGAATACAGTGAATCTGTAAAAAGCTCTGATCTGAGCTTTATGAAGAAGCCAACAGAAGATAGGTACACTGTGGTATTAAAGGGATAGACATAGTCAGCAACAATACTCAGGTAGTGTAGTGTGGTGTTTAAACTACACCAAGGGTGCCAAAAAAAGGAAAAAAAGAAAAAGAAATTGCCAAGAAAATACCACTGTACCACCACCAGCCTAGACTGTTGACACGTAGCAGGGTGGATCTATGCTTCCGTGTTGTTTTTATGTTTAAATTCTGATCTTAAAAGAACCAGACAAGGAAATATTGTTTCTCCAATCTCCTCTGGAGGAAATGCAGAGTAAAGCTGAGCTTAGTGAGGTAGGAAAAACAAATCACCATGGGCAACAGTGAGGTGTTTTGGGCATGACTTTTTATCTGCTTCTTAGCGTGGAGCATCCCAGACAACATTTGAAAACCCCTGCTTTTCAAAATGACTTCTTTCTCTATAATTAGTCATTTGGCTGAAGATCTAATATGGAAACACTGCAAAGAAATATCATTTCTTTTTTCTTTCTAATATGGCAGCTTTCAGCATATTTGTCACACTTATCTTTGTAAAATATTAAAATTTAACTCCGCTTTTAAATGATAATTTCATTTATTAAGGGAGAGAACTATCCAAACGTAACTTGCCCTGTGAGAAAAAGTAATTTCCCCCTTAAATTGATGAATTAATTTAAAAAAAAAAAATAGGACCCATCTAATAAAGGGAAGTAGGCTAAACGATCTCAATAACAACAAATAATGCTACAATCTAAAGAAACAGATGAGAAACTCCTCTGTCATTGACATCTGTCTGTCTGGAAATGAAGACAGATGTATGAAGTCATTTCTAAGGCTTTGGGACTCCAGCGAACCGCAGTGAGAGTCATTATATACAAATGGAGAAAACTCGGAACAGTGGTGATCATTCCCAGGAATGACTGACCCACCAAAATTACTGCAAGAGCAAATTGACGACTCATCCAGGAGGTCACAGAAGAACCCAGAACATTCTAAAGAACTCACTTGCCTCAGTTAAGGTCAGTTTTTGTGATTCAACAATTAAAAAAAAGAGACAAACGAAGAAACATCTTGATAATCCTCAAGACTTTTGTGTCTCGACACTGTTGGACTAATGAGTGAAAAGTAGATTGTTTGGAATGTCTGACTCCTGTTACATCTCATGTTAAACTAACACTTTTCATATAAAGAACATCATACCAGCAGTGGCGGTAGTGTGATGGTCTGGATCCAGACAACCATAGTTGAGGAAACCATGAATTTTGCTCTTTACCAGAAAATCCTGAAGCTAAATGTTTAGCTATCAATTGGTTATGCAGCAGGACAGTGATCCAAAAAACGTCAGCAAGTCCACCTCTGAATGGCTGAAATGCAAAAAAAAAAAAAAAAGAGCCTTTGAAGCTTGGCCTTAGTCAAAGTGTGGATTTAAATGAAATTGAGTTGCTTTGGCATGACCATAAACGGTCTGTCCATGCTTGAAAACCCTCCAATGTGGCTGAATTAAAACAATTCTGCAAAGAAGCCAAAATTCCTCCACAGTGATGTTATTATCACAAAAACTTGAAAATTTGATTGCTGTTTGTGTTGCCAAGGCTGGCACAACTAGTTATTAGGTTTAGGAGTCAGCTGCTTTTTCACAAAGGTTCAGGTAGGATTGGATAAGCTTTTTTCCTTTATCATATATAAAAAAAAAAACAGCATTTTTGCATTTTACCTGGGTTATCTTTGGCTAATGTTAAAAACTGTTTGATGATCTTGGGTTTGACAGTAATGCAAAAAACAAAGTAGTATTGAAAAATTACTTGTATTTTTTAATGATGCAACAAAACAATGAATGAAGCAAATGAGTAAAAATGCTGTAAAAATAATTTTTAGTAGAAATATATCAGGACAGGCTTGACTATAATAATGCTTGTGTCAGTGGGATTGTTATTTTTTTAATGTCTGCTCGATTTTTCTTCTCCAGTATTCCCAATTTTTGTGTAATTCTTAAACAAATACATTTCAAATTACAGACATGCAATACCAACGTAGATCTGGCATCAGAGTAAGTGCTGCTCTACAGTGTCTGGAAAAGAAAAAGAAAAAAAAGGGGGCAATTTCAAAACTATTTCAGGAAAAATATTCCCTGTGAGACCAGCTCAGTTCTCTCTTAGTCTAAACAGATCAGCACCAAATGAAGTGCTGTCTTTCTAATCTTAGCATAAATTCAGGGTAATGACATGCAAAGTGGTTATGGCAAATGACAGCTCTGAGACAGACTGTAAATTCATAAACTGCATATCAGTTTCCAATTATGTGTGCCAAAAAAATTTAGAAATCTTTTTTTCCTGTTGCCAGGGCTCAACCCAAAAAAACCTAAAACAAAACCCTGGCATTATTCAGCACCACATTTCATATCGGATTTGTCACAGTCCATCACCTTTTTGCACTTCACTGCCATCGTAAAATGAAAGCTCTCAATGCTTTTAATACATTTCCAAATTCTCAAAACAAACCACATTTTTATGTTATGTGAGCGTTAACTTAGAAAGGTAATTCCTGGTTGAGCCTGCACTTACTTTAGGACAAAATTCCCCAAAGTGTCATATTAGTAACACAATACAAGCTGTTTAATCAAACTTGAAAAACATTTCTTGGCCTGCCGTTGCACTACTCAGCAGTTATTTACATTCAGACAGGCTTCCACTGGGCCTCCAGGATGGCGCCAGATGTGTCTGATTGTTAATTTGTGACGCAACTTCGAAGCCCCCATTAGCCAGTGTGAAACCACTAAAGGGAGAAAATAACTTGCTGTAATACCAGTGGAGCGAATCGTGAAGCTCCATCTCATCCGTGTAATAAGAGATCTGATTCGCGGGATTACAGCTAAATTCTCATCACTTGTCAGCAGGAGTAGAAATAACTGTGGTCTGTAGGGTAAATCCACAGCAGGTATGCAGTTTCACAATCCCAAAAATGTCAGACTGTAAAGCAGAGACCACCTCACACCTTATATTACTGAGCAAATATTATTTATCTTAATATTCAGAGCAATTATGTGTAGTCTTGTGTTTTTAAAGTGTATGGTCTCATGCATTGCAGCAATTTTTAAACATAATTTATTGTGTATTTTGTATAAATGTTTCAAGTAAATTCACCCAGACAGACATGAGCAGTGATACTATAGATTCACTCGCCACTTTTTTAGATACACCTGTTTATTTGCTGTTTAATGCGTTAATCTAATCAGCCAATCACATGGCAGCAACTAGGCTTACTGAGGCATGTAGACATGGCCAAGACAACCTGCTGAAGCTCAAACTGAGCATCAAAATGAGGGAGAAAGGTAATTTAAACATCTTTGAACACGGCATCGTTTTGGTTCCAGACAGGGTGGTCTGAGTTTTTTGGAAACTGCTGATCTACTGGGAATTTTTCCACGCAGTCATCTGTAGGGTTTACAGAGAGACAAAATTAAAAATACCTGCTTGATGTCAGTGGTCAGAGGAGAATAGCCGGATTCTTTAACCTGACAACAACTCAAATAACCTGAATGAATAGCACGTTGAACCTTGAATCAGATGGGATACAGCAGCAGAAAACCACAATGAATGCCACAATAGAACAATAGAAGACTGGATTTCTGCTCTAACGTTCGGATGGTAGGGTCAGAATTTGGTATCAACAACATGAAAGCACGGATCTATCCTCCCTTGTTTCAGCGGTTCAGACTGCTGGTGGTGTAATGGTGTAGGGGATATTTTCCCTTAGTACCAGCTGAAGATCATTTAAACATCACGAGGTACCTGAGCACTACTGTAGTGTACCCATCTTCTGATGGCTGCTTCCAGCAGATTCGTAAAGCTCAAATGTTCTCCAACTGATTTCCGAACATAAAAATGAGTTTACTATGCTCAAATGACATTTACAGTCATCAGTTTCACTCCCATAGAGCACATTTCGGATGTGGTGGAATGGCAGTTTGGCATCATGGATGTGCAGCCAACAAATGTGCAGCAACTGTGCAGCATAGTGTTGAATCCAAGCAATGAAGAGATAAGTCAGTTCTGAAAACAAAAGTGGATTTAACCTCCTAAGACCCGAACTCTTCCACGGCATGCATTTTTAATTTCTCTTTGATATTTGGGCTGATTGGGGCCCGATGAATGTAAAAACAAAGAATTACTAGATTTTTTTTTACCTTATTTTTGTTTTTAAGAAAAATAAGAGCCACATATGAGGATATTCGTTTAAAATTTTGATAGAACAGTAGCAGCAAAATTGAGTATTTTGGTCTAAATAACCCAAAATGTGATGTCCACATATGTGGACGCCAGGTCCTAAGAGGTTAACCCCATACTACGAAAGTGTATCTAACCCAGAGGCTCAAAAGGAAAAGTCAATTTCACTCAGTTATTTTTAGGTAAATACCATCTGCCAAGAAGGTGATGTAACTGACTGCTTTGTTTTGTTTTGTTATTTGTTACCAGGTTTGCTCAAAAAAGTTATACTGTGCATCAAAGGCTTGGAGGTGGACAGAGATTTCCAAATATTAAATTATTTTGAATAACCTTAGACACTAAAATGTTGTTTAAACATAAAAGTTATGACAGGTTCATCTACAAGATTCATCCAAACTGTAGCAAAGCACTCTTACTTTATATTTAAAGTTATTCTAAAACTTATTTTAAATTTTTTAGAATTCAGTACTTTTTTCTACAATATTTTAAATGAGATTAAAAAAAATAAAGCGCTTTCTGAAAAGACCTCATCATATTATTAAATCCTATTTATTTAAAAAACAGTTCTTCAACAATCTAATAATACAAGTAAATGTCCTCCAATAACATTTTACCCAAGGGACGGAAGTTTTATCAGAAATATCTTGTGAAAGTCTTGATCCAGCTGATTTTTACATCATTATTATAAAATCACTTCATAACATTTTCCATGTTTTGCCAACAAACACTTTGGTCTAAAAAATGTAACTAATCATTTCAGCCGATAAAAATAAGTGTAATGGTTTAATAACTAATGTTTTTTCCCTAAAATATAGTCAAGCAAAGTTATTATGTAATATTAAAATATATATATATATATTAAAGTAGATAAATACCATACTAATGCAGCATTTAAATACATCCCCTGGGCATGAGAACACCTTCATGGAAAGAGTGACAATGCTGGCACGACACTTGACACCTGGTACACAAGAGTGGATTACGAGAAAAGGCCTGTTTCTGTTCTTTCTCAGGCTCCATCAGCTGTGGATTTCATAACTTATTTTGCAGTTGTAACCTTAATTTATGATCATCAAGAGCACGGGGGACACTCACTCCCACTAGTTTGAGTCCCCTGATGAATTTAATGTCGTTACTGTAGATGGTGTGTATGAAAATTCCTGGAAATTCACGCTGTCTTCACGGTTGAATGGATTCTATTTTTTCCCTGTTTTGTATAAACTGATCTGACACAAGCAGACTCTGTACAGCAAGTTAAAATTGGCTCACACGCACTAGCAGTTTATCTTCCCGAGTCATTCCCAGAAGGTCCCATAGAAAGCTGAAGGAGAGGCAGTCTGCTGCACTTTAACCCTCTGAGGTCTCAGCCACTGTTTTCAACTGTCTGCTGCCTCTGTTAACATAGCACTACATCTACAACAAAGCACATATAAAATCCTGAATAAATGCAGTACTGTAAAATAATTAACGTGTTTTAAGCACACCTGTGTTGGTATGAAAGTTTAAAAAGTCAATTTAATGTTTATTCATTTTTCAGCACACGTCTAAAAAAGACCAAATTGTGCTATATAAATAAACTTGCCTTGCCTAAAGTTCTCATGTGGCAAACAGAATTATAATATTGTGGTCGGCGATTAGGTGGAACCTTTTTCTCCTTAACCCTAACCTGTACACCGTACCTTTGTATTTAAAACAATCGCTGAAGCTTGGTGGGGGTACTGTCATCACAAAAGTCACAAAAACACAGTCTGTTTTTCAGGATTACTTTGAAACAAATGAACCTCTAAAGAAAGTTTATGTCACTTATGTTGTCCAGACAAATCAGGTACATGTCGCCGTGCCAACCCAAGTAACAGAGCTCTAACATAAGTGGCAACATTGTAACCCAAACCATGATTTTTTAAATATCTAAACCCAATCAGGTAATTTATTTTTAACTAACAACATAGTTAAAAATACTAAAAAAGGAAACATGTATGACTCAAACTTGCATCTCTGGCTGTAATGACTACCTCCACTACGACTCACTACAAAATAAAAATCATGTCCAGAAACACAGTGCACTAGATTAGAGCTGATTAGAGCCGAATTCATTTTCCTACGCCACATTAGCAAGAAGCTTGTTTACCTGAATTTCCCCAATGAGGGACAATAAAGGATATTTCTATTGTACTTCTAGAGATTGTGACCATTTCCCAAGCGGTGTTAAGCTTATTAAACTGCATTAGTTTAGAAATACTATGTTGACAAAAAAAAAGTGTAGAAATCTACAGTTTTGCTGTGTGTGCTCTCATTAAAGAGTAATAAAGTTGTTGCTGTGGTATTGGGATCCTACATTGTTTGAATTATCAGCCTTAGTGCATTTACACAATATGCAATTAGGGCAAAGGCAAAATACAGCAACAGAATGGGCATTAATGCCAGTGAGTGTCTTTAATTACAAGAGTTAATATAGCATACAAACATGTCAAGAAAAGCTCGTTTTTTTGTCTCCATTTTAAAAATGGCGCTATTTCCAACATACAGCAGTTCAACCAGGCTGAAAGAGGTTACATGCATGTATGATGAGTTCACTGTCTCTGACCCAAGCCAGAATAATTCTTCATGTTATCTTCAGATTCTTTCTGTACTTGCATATAGCGTGTTTACATGACCTTGACCTCTTTGTGACCTACTGTTATGGTGACGTTTGCTTGGAGAAGCAAAAAGCAACCAGCTATTGAGTCCACTCTAATACTACAAACTGACAGAAAGCTCAAATTAGGAAAACGTGCACTATAATAGAGCACATCCTAAATGGAAGGAGCCCACTGACCGTGTCCAGATGTGTGCGCTGGTGTTTAGCACGATCACTGGAGTTGCTGAAAGCCTTGAGGCAGCCGGGGTGCTGGCAAATGTAAGGTTTCTCCCCCGTGTGGCTCCTCAGGTGGATCTTCAGGTTCTCCAGACGGGAGAACGCCTTGGAGCAGCCCTCAAACTAACAAATAGAAAAGCAGAAGATTTTATATAGAAAAATTATTTAAGAAAATGTGCCTAGATTATCTTTAAAAATTAGTAAAAGTGGCACTTTGCCCATCAGCGTACACTCAACAATGACAAAATGAAACCATGTGTTTAGACATTTTTGCAAATCCATTGCATTTAATACCATCAGTTAGTGGGGAACCATACACGGTGAATATGTGCCATCCTATGTTTTCCAAATATTGTTCGTAACAGGACGACGCATTAACCCATTCCACTCCTGAGGCGCCTGTAGTAGAAGGAGACCGTGTGATATTTAAACAGAACCTGCTGCTTTTTATAAAGACTAGTAAGCAAGTCTACATTCACTCAACAAGTTGCTTAGTGAAACCATGACTAAGAAGATCCAGCAGGTAACAAGTAATGGAGTAAAAATATTTAAAATTGGTTCAGCAGTATCAGTGTTTACTAATATATTGTCATTAGTCTGCTTCTTTCATAATTAAAGATTAAAGAGGAGTTAAAGGATGTTTTTTTTCCATTTATATATTTTAACTGTACTCAGATGCACTGAAAAAGCAGTAGATGAAATAACCTGATAGTGTTGTGCACACTGCTGATAATAGTTGTGTAACAACCTAAAAAGAGGGCTTGAAATTCAAATCCTAGATACTGTCACCTTAAAGAGTTGAATGTCATATCGCCTAAAAGCTACCGCCACCGCTTTAATCCAGTGACAAGCAGTCCCGACTCACTCTGCTGACCCGATACTCGTTTCTCCTGTTCACACTGGCCATGAACACGGGTATAATGTGCTTCATATAAAAGTAATGGGTTTCAAAAGCCCCGGTGTGACCAACTTTTTTGTGAAAGTGCATGCAGTGAGCCAAAATAAAGCTTCAGCACTTTGAGACCGTAACAGTTTATTTAAAAATTTGGGAAAAAGAATGTTCATAACTGGACGATTTCTGTCACTTTATTTGAAACGTTTGGGGGCTTTTAGGTGCAGTTTGCCATCAGTTTATTGCATTTACACAAGAAATCAGTGTCTAGTTCTTGAAAGATTTTAAGATATACTGATTCAAATCTGTGACGGTAGACTAACAACTACATGAGAATAAAAAATAAAAAAAAATCATTCTGACATCTCTTTAGGGACTCAAAACAAAATAACAAAACTACAACATAAACTAAGAAATCATTAAATCCCCTTATGTTCCTTTAAAATGCTTAAGTTGTAACTACGTTTGTACATAGAACTTAATGTCCTTACAGAAAAAACTAAACCAGAGGCAATGTACCAGTATTTATATCATAAACTTCAGGTAGTGGCTGTTCTCCACTCAGAGAAAAAAAAAACTTAGCCAAAACCACAAAAACACACACGCACCGACTGCGGTAGGTACTGTTTCAATGAGCCTCAGCATGCTTACATACTGCCCGACATACCGCCTATGGTTTATATCTTTACAGAAATTCCAATTTCTACTGATCAGTGTTTCATATTGTATCTTTATGTCAGAACACCAAATATATGGAAATATTTAAAAAGGAAGTAAGAGACAGCATAGACCAGGGGTGTCCAAGTCCAGGCCTCAAGGACCGGTGTCCTGCAGGTTTTAGATATCACCCTGGATCAACACACTTGAATCAAATGATTAGTTCATTACCAGCCCTCTGGAGAACTTCAAGACATGTTGAGGAGGTAATTTAGCCATTTAAATCTGCTGTGTTGGATCAAGGTCACATCTAAAACCTGCAGGACACCAGACCTCGAGGCCTGGAGTTGGACACCGCTGGCATAGACACACGAAGAAGATTTACATATAGACCAGGGGTCCCCACTCCCAGTCCACGAGGGCCGGTGTCCCTGCAGGCTTCAGATGTGTCCTTGATCCATCACAGCTGATTTAAATGGCTAGATTAGCTTCTCAACATGTCTTGAAGTTCTCCAGAGGCCTGATAATGAACTAATCATGTGATTCAGGTGTGTTGACCCAGGGTGACATCTAAAACCTGCAGAGACACCGGCCCTTGTGGACTGGGATTGTGGACCCCTGATTTAGACCATTTTCATTTGTCAGTATTTTTTATATTTAGAAAAAGGTTTTGAATCAAAGTAAAATATTTTTTTATTCCCATGACACAATTTACTCTATAGATTTAACTGTTCTCTCTTCAAAATGACAAAGAAAGAAAATGAAGACCGATCATTGTGTGTGTGACACTTAAATTTGCATTTAAAAGAAAATAATCCCCTTATAATCTATAGATATTTTATAGATTCTATACAAATATTATATTTATTTCTTAAAACTTTTGATAAAATCTTCAGAAAATTGGTCTCTAGACTCAGTTCTAGTTTAGCACTGAAGGCTTGAATAAAGTAATTCTTTTACATTTTTTTTTTTATATCCAGAATTTATTCCACACATTTATTAGCCATCACTAATGACTCTATAAATGTCACTCACCTCATTAGGTTTAATAAACCTGTACATAAAAAACACACTACATCATCTTGATTAATTAATCCAAGCTTTGAAAACACCTCGCCACAAAAATACAGACGGGCAATTGAAGCATTCAAACACTGAGTCACACAAGAACACAGATGAAGCCCTGAGAAAGTGAAGCTGTAACATTTCAACAATGTGCAGCTGTGAAGTCAAACCTCACAACATTAGTCTGAGTTATCTGAGAAAAAAAAAGAAGCTTTTTTGTAGTTTAATCCATTGCCACAGGAGGACAATATTTAAGATCTATAGTTTATGTTCTGATATTTAATGCAAATGTAATTTACTCTACATTTTTCAAGACTTAATATCTTTGCCATTATTAATTTTTATTCCCCTTTGAAAAAGCACTCACTTTTTCAAAACAATTTTTCTTCTTATTTTACTAATACACACAACCCTGCCAATGTTCGCACAAACAGACACACACACTTATAATTTAAAACTACGTTATCAGGAATGAAAAAGACGATCACTCCACACTATATCAGGTACACCTTGTCAGTACTGGGTTGGACCCTCTTTTGCCTTCAGAGGCATCTTACTGTAATTCTTGGTGGTGCAGATTAAACTAGGTTCTGTTTACACCAAATCCTAACCCTACAACCCAAATTTTACATCAGAAATCAATACTCGTCACACCAGGTGATGTTTTCTCCGATATTCTACGGTCCAATTTTGCTGAGGCCATGCAACTTGTATATTCAGGTTCCTGTTATTAGGTAACAGGATTGGCAGATGATGTTCTTCTGCTTCACTGATTGTAAAGAGTTGTTATTGGAGTTCCTGCCGTCTTCTATAAGACCAACAAGGCATTTACGCCCAGAGAACTGCTACCGATGGGATTATTTCATTTATAAACCATTCTCTGTAATCCTTACAGGTGGTTGTGCAGGAAAATCAGCGTAAATTAGAAGTATCGGAAATACTCAGACCCGACCATCTGGTACTAACAATCATGCCACCGTTTGATGCCCAGTTTAAACTTCAGCAGGTTGTCTCGAGAATGTCTTCATCCATGTCTTGGGTTGCCATGATTAGCTGATAGATATCTAATACCTAAAAACAAACAAACAAACAAACAAAACTAGCTAATGGGTAAAGTTTCATAAAAGAAAAAAAAACAAGCCCTGCAGTTTATACTACAGATGTGATATAATGACGAGTAAAAGAACCATTGACTAATACTTATTATTTATAATTACATATTTGGTACTCTCTTGAGTCTTAATATTCCTGCTAAAAATATTTTGATGGGAAGACATTTTATTCTGCCTTTACAGCTGATAATTTTAATTTTTCAGACAATGCTCGTCATTCGAGGGTCACTGGTTTTGGTCTTTTCATGGTTATATGACAGACAGATCATAAATGTACATACATGTGTATTTTATTGAAGCATCATAAATTACACATGATGACTCTCACACAGTGGGTTTAGAAGTGCTTTGAGAACTCGTGTTTACAGCCTGAGTAACACCTGTCCAATCTGGGGCTTGACATTACGAGCTGGTAAATAAAGCTGAATTCATTAACAAACACTGACTGCATTCATGTGAGATATATTCATTTTCCACTGCAGCACCGGGAATGACTTAATTCACATCTTCTGGCATAAGAACTTTATGAAAATGAAATGACGTTATTCACGTAGTTCAAGTTTGACTAATGACTAATTTTTTGTGTTTATGTTGATTTAATATTTATTAGTTGGCAGCAGGCTGGATCACTATAATGAACTAATTCACTTATGAAGGAAGCGTATCCCAGAGTGAGAACTTCTGAATGAATTACTAATCCTTAGGCTGATGACAGCAGGGAATAACGGAGAGAGCTGCTCAGGGATGGGGACTTGGCACCAAACAGCAGGTCATAATGGGGCAGATGTATTCAGGTCATGAATTAATGAGCTTCATGAAGTGACTCATGACAGAAGTGATGGAGGATGACGCATCGCTGGGGCTCAAAGGCCACTGTTGTGATGGTAAATGTAGAAAGGACCGTGTTTTCACACCAGCGTGGTTGTAGATCTGTCTTTATCTTAGTGGCCTGGGTTAAATTTATGGCTCAAATATATGAGCCTCTTTTTTTAATAATTTATTGACATTTAAAGTTTTATCTGCTGAAACTAGCGAGCTATAGAAGCAAACCCATTGGGTGTTTTTTGTCTGTGCAACGAACAAAACAAAGGAAAGATTCTGCATCCATCCACTTCCTGCTGCTTATCTGGGTCTGGGCTGTGGGGAAGGCAGTCAAGGCAGTCAAGGCAGTCAAGGCAGTCAAGGCAGTCAAGGCAGTCCCCCCCCCCCCGAACCCCCCTGTCTCAAGACCCCCACAGAGGGACACCAAGTCACTTTCCACTGTGAAATAATCAGGTAATCAACCTTTTAATTCTATAAATGAAAAAGGGAAAATCAGATTAAGTTACACATAATGTGACAGGAAAATATATATATATATATATAACAATAGATGCATACACATTTTACTGTGGTTTTCTTCTACTCTTGTGCTGCATTTCTGAAACTGCATAGGTAATAATCCTGGGGACTTGTAGTATTCAAAAACTGCACACAATGGCCACAAATATGAAAAACCATCTTTTTGTCTTTAGGAACATACTTTCCATAAGAGACAATCATTTAGCTGCTGATCTAAGGACAATGCATAATGTCTATGCTAGGCAATAAATTAAATGCATCTGTCAGAAAAGGCTCAGGGTGATCAGCGGTTTTCGTATGCTTAGACACATCCTCCATTCATACATTCATTCATTCCTCCTCTGGCATTCATGAGTCAGGGAAACCTGTTGTGACGAGAGGAAAAGGTTTAAATCATTTCCCTGTCTAACAGATGGTTCATCAGTCTGGCAGAAATCAGTAGAAGACTGTGAGCTCATTAATGCCTTTCAAACCCAGTTAAGGCTCCAAGTGGCCCTGGCCCATGCGATGCTGGAAAGGATGAGATACTGTATGTTTTGACTGACTGTTCTAAGATTTGGCATGTGCTGGATAAATCTCTCCAAGTGAAGGGAATAAACAAACAAACAAAAAACGTTCATTCTCACAAAAAAAAACCCCCCACATACACTGTAGCAGCCAGCTTAAGTAGACATTAACCAACAGGGATGCATGTGCAGACTGGATCGGACACAAAACAGCCTTTAACCTCTCGGTTTTCTAGTACTGTATTTTTCGGACCATAAGGCGCACGGTCGATGAACAAGTCTTTTTTCATACATACGGCGCACTGGATTATAAGGCGCATTAAGAAAAAGAAAAAAAAAAGTCAGATAAGTCAAACTTTACTCAACTCGTTCCATTCATTCATTAATGTTGAATTCTCTCGCAGCTACTCTATTCCCATGTTGTCACAGTATATTAATGACTAACCTTATATTTTACAGCACCCTGCCATGCGATTGCATTTGTCCCTAACCATCAGGAATCCTCACGTTAACTTTTGAGTGGAAAAAAGTTAGCGTTCATCCTCCAGCTTCACTGTGTTTATGTTATGCTAACATAGCTGTGTCGCTAGCGATCACGTAGCACATCATTATATACCATGCTAGTCCAACTTCAGTAACCCTACAAAAGTCACTGCTGTTTAGTTTTCTTCTTCTTTATTTATGTTAGAAGTGATAGCAGAGCTGTATGTTTTAATTTATTCAGAAATCCCATACAGAACATGGTATATCATCCTTAGGTATAAACTAGCAAGCTAACTTAAGCAGGAATTCCTGCTAACTTCTAACTCTGTTAAATTTCGTAAATTCTGTTTTCATGGATGCCCAGATGTTAAACTTAATTGTTACACCTGGTAAAGCAGCAACACTGATCATTTTATTAAAGATAAAAGAATTTAGACCGTTTCTAACTCTCAGTGATGTCGCAGTGTTTATTGTGTACCACATAAAGTTGGTTCAAGGTCAGTAAGCAAACAGAATTCATACATAAAGTGCATAAGGCTCACTGTCAATTTTTGAGAAAATTAAAGGATTTTAAGTGCGCCTTATAGGCCGAAAAATACGCTGCCTGTACGTCCATTAGTTCTTAGGTGAGAATAAAGCAGCTATCATTTGGGTTTGTTCACAGTTGTGATCCTCTTGTGTCCTGCATCATGTTCCCTTCCTTGATCAACAGGTCCCAACATTCTCGTTATATACCAGGGGAATCAGGAGAAAACAGCCTTCTGGTACGATGATGATTTTGCTATAGAAGTAAAGATGCATCTGGCTGTGCATGCCAGTACTTTATCACAGCCACACATTTAGGGGGACCCATTATGCTTTTCTTCATTTCCTTAGGTAATATATATATGTCTATGTTATAATAGCAGATGCTCATTAAGTTTCACATAAAGACATTAGTCTATGTACAATCCTCATTAATTGCAGATGGCTACAAACGCTTGGCTTTAGTTTCCATCTGCACCTGATTCTGTATGAGCTAGAGCAGATATGCCTTATATGGCTGTCTCAGACACACAAGCCCCACCCAATTGCTGTTCAAAATATCTTTTTATGAGGGGCATCAAATCAGAAGAAAGTTAGCTTAAAGGAAGGGAAGGGGAAGAGAACTAAAAGACTTGTTTCAGATAAAGGATGACAAAGAATGGTTATTTTGACCTGGGAATCATGTCAAGTTGGTCTACTAGAAAACATGAAGTTAGAAATAAGTATAACAGGTCCCTTTCAAAGAATTAATGGACACAAAGTGCTGGTTTTATGTTTTGATGCTTAAAACCTCTTCCATTTGACAAGGTACTACTAAGAATATTACTGTTATTGCTAAATTAAATAGTTGCCGCATTGTTCTAATAAACTACTGTTGTATAAATTCCTTAACGGGGAAAACTCTTCCAAGAGATTTCTGTTTTGCAGTTTGAGAAGTAGTTTGTGTCTTCTCTCAGTAACTTCAGATTTTTTTAAAAAAAAATTTTAAACGGTCCGTTCTGACTCGGTTATCCTTTTTTTCTGTCATTTAACTGTTGACTAAAGCAAACTCACCATGCACTTGTTGGGTTTTTCTCCAGAATGGACCCTCATGTGGATAAGCAGCTTGTAGCGAGCATTGAACGGTTTGTTGCGTCGCACACAGCCAGTCCAGAAACATGCAAACTCCTCCCCTTTTCTCTGGTCGATGTGCACTTTCTCGATGTGCCTCACTAGCTCCTCCTGGGTGCTATAAGTGGCACTGCAGTCGATCCAATGACACGGTTGCTCCTGCTGGTCAAGCGTGGGGTCCTGTCCCACAGGTACGTTAATCATGGGGGACTGAAGAGAGGACTGTGTGCTGTCCTGATTGCTGTATCCTTGAAAAGCCTGATTTAAATGGTACAGCTCCCCCTGCTGGTTGCTAATTTGAAACTGTTCCCTCTTACATGGCAAGAAATCATCTGCAGGTTCTTGTTTTACGGAGCAATATTCCTCCTGTGGCTTTTGTTGTTGTTGAGACAATTTATTGTTGGCATCAGAAAGAGGCAAGCAAGATGCAAAAAGTAGAGATGAGGAGGCAGAAGACAGTGAGGAAGGTGGCGAGGCGAAAGATGAAGATGTGGCACAGCTGGTGAGCATGTAGGAAATTGGGAAGGAAGGCTGAGGGTAGCAGCTAAACCTCTGAGTGCTGTTTTGGGTGTCTGTGTGAGCTGTGGTTGCAAAGTCCTCCACAGTCTTTTCTACGTGGGATCCGGCTGTCTTACAGTTGAGCAGGGAGGTGAGGTCACGCCCAAGCGAGGAGAGTGACAGTGAGGTCCTGGGAAGACAGCACAGGCCTCCCGAATGGATCGATGGCTGGCAGAAGCCACCAGAAGACAGCGGCGCCTGAAGATCCTCAGCATCCTCAAACACACTCCCAAATCCAGGAAGAGTCACATCTGGAGGCCCGAGATCAGGGGGCCACATGCCAGCCCCCACTCACAGACTCCCACCAAGAGATCCTGTCAGTAAAATCGTTGAAGTCGATTATCTTGGAGCAATTTTAAGACCCCATTGTAGATAAAACCCTCTGCAGCATCTTTTCGCATTCAAAGGTAATCAAATTAGATTCATGTGCAACTTCTGGCACCTTCTGAATGTGTAGACTTCAGTCATTTGTTCCAAAGTGTTGCGTGGTCAGTCATCACTCCAGCACTGTGGGAGACAAAAACCAAACCCAAATGAGTCATCATAAAAAATACATAAATTTTAAAAAGTGCTTGAATCTTTTATGATCGAAAAAACAGTTTAAAACCTGAAGAATTGCATTCAAGTATATGTACCCTAGTTTTCTTGCCTAACTACGACACAAGTCTTGAAAATAAACAAGGTCAGTTAGCTACAAAAGCTACTGCTGAAGCTAGAGTTAAAGCTGACCTACAGTATGATGCTCTTTGCAGCTCCATAATTTTAATATTGGAATCTAGCAGAACAGCTTTGCATAGGCCACATTTCAATAATAATCCTTATTTATCTTATCCTGGGCCTTGGTGCAGCCCCTTTGTTCATCTAGTGTCTGAAACAAGTTGTTCTAGCCTATCTGCCCTTAACTTTTCTGTCTTCTGACTGGCTGTCTTTTGCAAACAGAGCGCTAAAACAACAGGTGGGTGGGGATTTACTGCTCAAGGGCAGCGCTGACATAAAAAGGGCCTACTATACAGAAATCTATAGTCAAAAGGGCTGTGAACCAGACAGATAAATGTTGTAGAGCAAAAAATTAAATATAATAGCCTGAAATTTAAAAAGATTAGCGTACGATGCAGCATGAAATGGAAAAGCTGCAAAAAGTCACTGCGCCGGAACGAGACACGTGTGATGATCTGTGCATTTGAAAAGAGATATTCCATCTCTTACACTCAAGCCTCACCACATCTACCATGGAATTCACCCATCAACCACTGGTTCATCGCTCGGCCATTGCCTCAGCAGAGTTTCCTTCACAAACAAATTTCCAAAGATGCTTCTCTCATGAGAAGCATTACTCTAAACTTAAGGACTCACAAAACTAAGAAAATCTTGATCAAACTGGGGATTATTTTTACCAAAACTGTCTGTAACACTCTGGAGGTCCTTGGATTTTATGGTGTTTAGTGTCCTGGCTGTTGGGTTTAATGATTTGTTTTTTTTACTTTCATTTTAAAAGAAAAACCTGTTTCATTTCTGACCACTACACAACATGCAGAAGACTGTTTAAAAAAAAAAAAAAGAGGACTGGAACGCTCATATTGTCTAATGAATGTTTCTTATAAAAATTCAATACTTGTATCACCTTGAACTGACAATTCATTAAACATTCATGTGTTGTGTTGATAAAGGATGATGTACCACTCATGCTGCTAAAGAGGACTTGTGAGCTTGTTTCAGTCTGAAACACTAATCAACACAAGTTTTTTACTTATAGTAATTTATATTGAGCAGCACGGCTCTAGCCTAGGACCTCTCAATCTTTATGCAAACATGGGTGGAAAGGAAAAGGTGGTGAGAGCAGTGACAAGACCCAACAGGCATCAATAAGAGCAGATTTACTTTGATCAAGTCAGATACACCATGAAAAGGAGGAACTGGGGTGGAGGCTGTCTAAAAAGAGGCAGATCTGCACCTAGTATGGGACAGACTAAAGCACAATAAACAGTGTGCCCTTGAAAAGATTTACCAATTGGTTATGTAGAAGGGTATCAGCTGAGCCATCAGCTAATGTGGGCTGGTAATGAGATGAGCTGCTGAGCCCGGAGTGCAGCCGAGCTCGACTTTGAGACCTGAACTAACGCTGCTGTTTGGAGATCAAACAGAAGTTGACTCAAGTAGATTTACCCCAACTCCCTAAAAGGCCTTAAACACAATCTATAAACAGATTTTGATTTGTAAAAATGATGGACTTGCCCTTTTAAAGACAGCGCTTAGCACATTTTACCATGTCGGCTGAACTGAGTCAGGATTGATTGTAACTCAGCTGGTGTGACAACTTGCCACGCTGTTCAACAGTATGAAGCATGAAACCCAGACTGTCTCATTCTCTCAATGTTATTCCCTCATTTCCATTTTGTGTCCAATCATTAACAACAAATAGACCACAGTGACCAGAAGGAAAGGTTTTGGATGGAGTAAAAACCAAAACAAACACAGTCCAGCGCTCCTTGTCAGCAGACTTCAGTCAAATATCTTAGAGTGTAATTCTGCAACGAGTGTGTGTTTGCTGCTGCGACACTCAGAGCTGATTCATTACTCCAGGCATTTAGGCCACCCTTGCAGCAAACAGCCAGTTGCTGTGTGGCAGCCGATTGCCTGGAACCTGGTCCAGATGCTTGTTAACAGAGGAAGAGTAATGGACCGCATCTCACCGCTTGCTACTGATGCAATACAGGGAGGCTGGAAAATGGTGGGCCAAACACAAGCACCCCCACCCCTGTCACATATACAGTAGCTCTACTGTGCAGAAGTCCTTGACTGTTTATTGGACTTGACTTGATTTCCACAGTTCTCTACCATCTGCCAGATATCGATGATCTAATTTTCAGTAGGATCGCTGCCACGTGTAATTAGTCATTGGAAAGATTCAAAAGGATTTTATGCTGATGGTTATTTTACGAGCCACAGGCCAACACAGCTAAGAGGATGAGTAAGTTCAGTTCTGTAGTTATATTAGCTGACGAAGGAGTCGCTAAGTGTAGGTTAATGCCCATAGTTTCCTGTTATAGTCTGGTTTACAGTTTTACGATTCTTCCTGTAAATCGCTGGAGTTCCCCCACCATAGTCATGTCATGGGAACTGTGGTTGACTTTTAATTAGAGAGGCTGCGATGTGTCTGTGTGTCGATGAGTTGCAAGGGATTAACGATAGCAGATGTGGTTTGGCATGTTTGAAATGGGATAATTCCAAACTAGATCCTTTTAGCTGTAAGAGCTTATGAATATGAAGATTTGATGTTCACATTCGTAATCTAACTGCTCCTCTTTAGCGTCAAACCGGGACTTGTGTAAACATCCTCTATGCCATAAATACAGCTGTAAATATAGCACACAGAGGACGTTTTTAGCATTGTCTGTTCGCAAACCACTTTGGTCTTGATCCAGAAAGAAGAGTTAGACGGCAATACTAAGAAAAGTGACCCACAAAGCCTCAACTGAACCAGCAAACTCTATGAAATAGCAGCCTCATCTCATGTGGCGTCTTTTAAGGACTCACTCGCTGTGGTTAGCTAAACACAGCTGTGGCATTTCAGGACAAGCAAATGTGTACTTGTCTCAACAATAAGCACTTTGGGTCTTGAATTACAAACTTTTTCAGTGCCTCTTGGTTCAACTCAAACGTGGGAAAGATATCCTTATTAAACTGAGAAATGCGAACACATACAACAGAATTAGGTTTCCCAAATCTTCATAAATAATCCAGAGCTGTGGCAATTAGAGTTCACTGACTTGTGCTAAGACTGAGCACACATTACTAAGTAAATAATATTTATTTCTTGTTTTCCACTCTTATCACCATCTTGCCCAAGGACACTTCGACGTGCAGACTGGAGGAGTGTTTGACTCAAGTGTTTGACTAGGAATCTAACGTGCTATTGTTTGCACCAAAAAGCCTGTTACAGATCAACTTTATTTACACATAAGAGTAAAGTTTAGTATACACAAATACGCAGGATCTCATTGTTTTGCACTGTCAAAACATGCTGTCAAAACAGCACACAGTTTGAGTTATCACTTCATCAGGTGCATGTGAACTCAGCATTTTGTCAGATTCTTATGAGTAAGACTTAATATGTTTGTCTCTGGGAGCTTTTGACAGAGGAAAAAGGTTCTCGAAGCACAGAATGGTCAGACTACCCTCTCCCACCCAGCCCTTAAAGCTGAAGTAATCAATATGTGTTATGCAAGCGTTTAAGAACAAAGATGAGCGTGTCAAAGTGTTTCGGTTTCTTTCAGCTCATTGTTTTGGATGAATGTAAACTTGATGCTCTCATCAATCATGTTTCCAGACACAGCAGGAAGCCGTTTTAGTCAAAGAGCTCTGATAAAACCTCTGTGCACAACTTACTGAGCACCAGACCAAGACAGACGGCATTAGTGACCAGCTGTTGAACATGGCAGAGGAATTAGTCACTCCCTATGGAATTTCTTTTGTGATTACTGTGGCTAAAAAAATGCTTTGCAGCAGCTTTTCTCAAAAATTCCAGATTCATGTGGCAAAGATTTATGTCCTTTTACTGCATTAAAATTGTAATTATTGCAAACTGTAGTTATATACACATTGCAATTATAGCAACATTACAAGCATAATGTTCATAAGTGTAACTTTTTTAAAGAAAAACTGCATCAACTTAAAATGAAAAGAATGTATCTGTTTTTACAGTACACACATGTCATGTTAACAACACTTTGTTTGCAACATTTTCCCAAGCTCTTTAACGGCAATTCTTTTTCTGCATGCCTTAACTATGCACAAAAGGTATGAAATTACAGGATAAATCATGGCCCAAATGTTGTTGTTTTAAAAGCTTTGTGGGTGACTTCACTAATACAAATGTTAAAAAAAATAAAATTGAAAGTTCTTGAGTAATTTTGGTTAATCTCAGAAATAACATAAATTCCAAGATGGACTAAATGGCAAATAAAGAATGGCCTATTTGGTGTTGGTGGAGACCAAAATCAGTGATTAAATGAGGCAACAAGGAAGTTTTTTCCTAACACAACATGTTAGTGATAAATTTAAAACATGGTTTGGTGCCTTCAGGCTAAAACAACAGCAGCAATCAGGAGGATTAGCTAAGACAAGCTTTTGATATGTTTTGGTGCAGCAGTCCCCAACCCCGGACCACCGACAGGTACTGGTCCGTGAGCCGCTTGATACCAGGCCGTGAGAGTTGAGGCTCGGGTTATGGTTTTCGGGGATTTTATCGTTAACTCTGTTTCCCTGGGTCTTTTCCCGTGTTGTAGTTGCGCGTCTTATTTTGAAAGAAATATTTATGTGTTACCATAGCGACCAGAGAGCATTAAGAGGAAGATTTTACTCTCGGTGTTGTTGGCGCATTTCAGGAGAAGGCTGCTAATAAAGTTACACAATTACACAGTGAATTTGCGTTGATTGTTGCGTTTACACAACAATACACTTTTTGTCTTGGTCGTATCATTTTATTTTATTGTATTTATCTGCGACAC